TATATTATATTATTAATTATTATTATTATATATATATATATATATATATATATATATATATATATATATATATATATATATATATATATATTTACATATATATGTATATATGTATGTGTAAATGTGGATACATATATATTTATATATTTATATTTATATATATATATATGTATGATATCATGTGTTGCTTCCTACAGAACGCTAATTGCGCAAATACAAGCAAAGCCGTTCGACACTTGTCTTTTAAACGCGTCAGTCTCTCCGAAGACCTGATATACCCTCATCATATCGTAGATCACGTGCAGCCAGGTACGAGGCGACTATATTCGCCTCAATTTCTACTCTACGCAGCCAATCCTTCATCGGGCGGATCGTTGTCTCCGGCCGTTCATTGCTATGATGATTGTCCACCGATACCCAGTGAGGATATATATTCCTTCATTTACAGAATGTCGTGACGTCCCCTCTCTGAAATTTTGGTAGCGTTCATACCCAATCGAGCCGGCAATCCCCACGCCAACACCTGCTCCTTTACTCTCGCAATCATCATCCTTGTCTGCGTATCCACTGTCGTCAGCACCATAGACTGACTCTTGACAGTATCAAAATCCGTGCCATGATCACTTTGTACGCGTGGCTTTTTCAGGGCGCATCAGCTGTTGCAGCACACTTTGCTATGCTGGCTTCACCACCGACTGCCTGACGCGCCTTACAGCTCTTGCGGCCAGAATCACATCTCTCTTTCATGCCGCCCCTGAAACCCCATAATCTGCGTACAATATCATCCAGCCATTCGTATGCGCAAACAACACATGCGTGTACCTAACGATGCACTCGAGGACATCACTCCCCACTTCCACACCAAACACCGAACAAGGATTCAATCTCAACAAAATTCGTTTCCGCTGCATCTTCTCGCCCAGCTTGTCCACTGCCAGCTTGTCTTTTTCGTTCAGCGGCAACAGTTCCACCGGATCTGTTTCAACTTGAAAAAATGTTCTTTGGGAAGCGATTCCTTGAACCCTTTCGCTCACGCTCTTGCTAGTTCGTCGCTCTGAATGTACATCTCCTCAGAGATTGAGCACGTGTCCACAATTGCCGCTGCTTTGCGCTTACAGGATTATCAAGTACTGAGTTTTGGGGTCCAGATCCGAAATTCCTGATTTTATAGTTATCAGGGATATAGCGGTATTACCGGTAGATGACAGTGGGATTCGTGCGTGTGATATAATACTCAAGTAGAATTTGAGTCCAGTGTAGAAATACAAACCACAAATAAAGTTCTTTCAGCGTAGGACTTCATCTAGCTTAGAGATTCGCACTCGAAAAGAGGTCTATTATTTTCTTTGGTCGTATCTTTTCAGTTGCTCTCAAACTCTGCATTTTTAACAATATCTTTACTATGGTCAGTCGAGTAAGAGGGATGATTAATCTCTGTTACACTCACGCGTAGTACACAGAAGGGGTCGTGAATTAATGAATCCTATCAAGGGACATACCTAAACTAGAACATAAACATAAGAAGTTCGCCCACAGCCGAAGATCATGGATCAGGGATAACAAGGAGTGCTGTTCTAACAAAAAGAGGATTACTGCCAGAAATCAAGGATCAAGACGTGCCAAAGAGGCTGCTCAATCGATAAAGAGAACTGAGAAGAAAAGAAGGAGTTTCTTCTCTGAGAAGAAAGATCAAGTGTCGCTCGTACCTAACATATTCCAGCAAGTATTTTTTTTTAGCAGTTTTTCCCCGAAGGGTTGTAACAGAGGTAAAACTCCAAGACTAATTAAGGGATTTTTCCGATCTGAGGGGTTTTTTTACCACAACCCTGGTTATGAAGGACTGATAGACATATACGCACAGGCGTATAGCCGCCAAAGTGTGTATATATACGCGTAGCTATAATCATTCCTACACCAGAATTAGCCACAACCGTTAGCCTGGTTCAATTTGTATTCACCAGTGCCTTAAAGAAAACCCACCCACCGACACCATTACTTTAGATATGCTAGATTCCCATCTCACTTAATTCCAATAAAATATAACATCGACGGGCATCAGGGTTGCCGAACAGCCCTGGTGTTCTGTCCGGCTGCGCCGTTCTGTCTGGCTCCGCTGATAGTGTCTCCGACACTCTCCGGCCTGACAGTTCAGCAAAGCCAACGGCAAACACAAATTAAGCAAAAGGTCTCAGTTTTATTTTTATACAAAGGTAAGTAACTAGGTATCCCGGAAGGTATGCATACATACATTGATATATCTGTGCAAACCAGAGTGACAAGTGTGTCACCTGTGATGAGATTATATGTTGGGGCGCTGAAATTTTACAAAAATGTCAACTGTGATCACTTACAAGATTGGAGTACTTAGATTTATAAGTGCAACAATGGCGGACAGGTCGGTAAAACTACGTACAAGTACAAGTAGTAGTTGAAATACGCAGTTATAAATAAACAGAACTACAACTGCAAATGCGAACATCCTGGGAGACTATTCTAACCTGCACATGGCCAGCCTGTCAAGTACATGTCAAGAACACATGCCTTCACATGCATGGAATACCCATTGAGAAAAGTGTATGTACCGAAGTTGAAGAGAAGTGTGTATGTGTTAATCCAAGTGTATCACATGTATAAATAAACGTACTATGAACAACATAAGTGGTTAATCAGACACACGTATAACGAAGTAAACAACATATCTATAGTAACGAGATATGAAAGGGTATTTTTACTTGCATTGTATAATAGATACATGGAAACAGTTGATAACTTCCCATTGGCTGTCGAATGCGGCTGATAAATGCAGTTGATACATAGTAGAATTAACATACACAATTGCTGAAGTTCATAACAGAACAAGGCAACTCAATCTTCACAACAGAAATACATAGTAGTACTGTTCAAAAAAGATATATTACAGTATTGATCAAGCAATAATCCCAATACAAGTAAAAAGATATAGAAATATCAAGGAATAACAAAGAAGTACATGTATCTACACATGCTGATGACGTCTACGTATACACACATACAATGAAGAAAAAATGGATTAGCAAGGAAAGCAAAATCTCTTCTCGCATTTAAGGAAGGATACATGTATACATCTACGAATAAAATACAAAAAGATATCCATATATATCCTACCAAGCTGTAGGAGGATATACGTGTGTGCATTTAGCACATGTGTACTTTACAAGTATAAACTAAAGAAGGAAACATGTTGACATCTACGAATAAAATAAATTAAATTATACATATACATTCTACAAAGCGGTTGGGGAGACACATGTGTAAATATAGCACATGTGTATATTACTAAACACGTAATATCTAAAATCCATGGATGGTGTAAGGAAGCAAACACATTAACAGCCCATATTTCACCTCAACAATAGAAGGGCGGAAAAAACTTATCCATATCATAGGGTACACATGAACAAAAACAGACATTACATCTCAATTACAGGAGTCTAGAAATTACTTACCTATGAAACAGAGAAGTAGACATTCAAAAGTAACAATAAATATAGATATACATTTATGATACATGGATATTCATTGATCCAGACACATCGTAAGACGGAATAATAATATCAGAGACGGACTTCATAGATACATGATACGACACACATGAGAGATAGATACAAAGACGATCATGAAGGTTCTGCAATACACGGACGTGTCAGTATCGAATACAAATCAGTGCACATGTCAGACACAATGGATACATTCACACGCATGTGTAGCATGTACTCATTTTACTTATTAGTGATCTAAGACAAAATATAGTAGTAACCTCTATCAGGTAGTACACAAGCACAGCTATGTAAAAAAAGTGTATAGAGAAGGATATATGCGAATAAAACAAACATAGGACTCAGAGTCAAGGTGCTATGCAAAAATTACCTATACCGAAGAGTAAATATATTCGCACAACACTAATTAGTTGGAAATACAGCAGTTCGGTACTCGAACACGAGACGCATCTAAAATCTCAATCCTAGGTTGACGACTGTAACACAGTTGACAACACGGTGAACAAAATCTACACAAGAACCCCAGCTTATAACAAATCAACCAACATAAACCTAAGTTTATCAACAAACCCCTCCGCATAAATCCAGGTGTCAAAGCGAACATCAGTGCGAGCTAATCAAGCCCAAGGAACTGCACTCAGCTACCACACACTTTACAACGGAGGCCACATAACGGTCAACAACCAAAATTAACACGAAACGTGTGAATTCAAAAGGGAGTTATTTTATGGTGGAGAATATGATAAGTCAATACAACACGTACACATCACATAATAAAGAGCCCTGACTCTACAATGAATACTCAACATACAGTACAGTCAGTGACGTCTGCTCCCTATTAAGGGATAAAAGCAGCACGAAGGAGTCTGCGCACATATGTAAGCTCGAGTCGTACACACACAAGAGAGATTACAAGTCGTACAGCCAGAACTTGACCAGTGCAAGCACACATACTACCAGTAGCTTGAGCATCATCAAGCAACTTCACTCCAAGTAATAAAGAATTAGTGGTGCAGTTGGACGACCAGTCCACACCGGGGGTGTACCAATAGACCCAGCAATGCGCAAGTTCATCGTGTCCACTGACAAGCAACGCATACATCATAGGCATATTAGTGGACAAGATACGCACAGAAGGCGGACGAATTCATTGAAATACGAGCATTCCCTAAACCATAGAACAACCCAAGAGATTGATACTAGAAGTAGATCAATGGTTTCAGAGCCATACGATAAAGCTATGAAGAACTGTGATAAGAGTGACCCCGATGAGTGTATTGCACTCAGTGGCTTTATGAACGAGTTAACATTAGTTAGATCTCACGAAGGAAATAAAACTACAGATCAAGAGACGGATGAGCTACTCAAAATGAGCGAGTTTCCAAAGTGGCCAGCCAGCAAGTATGTTAGCATGGCTGATTGTCGTGCACAGTAAAATTTGTATCAGTATCAGCTTGGAAAGGTTTCACGAATATATTAACCATTGACAACTTGCGCAGGACTCCTGTACACTACCTAATGGAGAAATGGATAAATGACTTTCACGACAGTAGAATGAACAAAGAAGTAAGAGCTGCACGCTTGCCACTTGACCTTGAAACGTGATACAAGTACACTGCAAAAGAACCTATCAATCTGCGACTTCTCAAAGCATGACACTATTTATCATTGATCATGTACGGACAGCAAGCAGAAACTGACAAGATTTGAAGGCTCATACCAAGCCTGATGGTAGTAGTGGAAACTTGCCTGACATATCAGAGAAGGCATTTCATAAATAACGGAAGACCTTATCTGACAAGCAACAATCACGTACACCAAACGGAATCAAGAATGCAAGCGAATGAGAAACGCACCCATTCTATACCAACGAGTCAATCGTCTAAACTTGACACACCAGCAGGGAGTCTAACCAGCAGGGGGGAACCACCAGGTCCTGGTCAAGGCTGCGGAAGTCTTATAGGACAGAGCAATACCAACTCACTAAGAGGACCAAGACATTGCCAACACTGCGGCGTAGACCCATTGCCTCATGCGTTCAGCAAGTGTCCCAAGAAGGAAGAAAGTAACCGAATATACCTTATTCTTTGATTCTAAACCCACGTGACCAAAGATTGCACATAGACATACAAATGATAACAATGTACAGGCCGATTCAGAAGCCCAACGCTCATGATGGATCAAAATGTAGTGATTGAACTATACTTGTCAGTCAAAGCACAACCAGGCCACATACAACCAGCTCAACTGACGCACAAGTACAACGTAAAGGCCCTACAGAAGTGTGCGATATCAACTATGGCGGAAGAAAATCGTTGATCTGTTTTGAGGCACTCGCGCCCCCCCCCCCCTCCAATAAAAAGTACCCGATATATTTAGCCATGGATATTTTAGCTTACTTTGGCTTGTATCTAGCAGGTATAATCAATCCAGTTATACCAACAGCTATGGAATCAGAATTACGTCGTACATCACATGAAGAAGACCAGGAACATGAGCAAGGTTTCCGAGAATCATGATCGGACATAATAGACCGGAATGCAATGGCCATATCTGATGTACACTTCAACTTGACAAGTGACGAAGTCAATATCAAACAAATAAGACACGCTAAAGCAGACTTTATGCCGCATAAGTACATACCACTAAGATACGACAATATTGAAAAGTGGGTAAGAGACGGACGCATACAAAGAACAATACCAAAATAGGTGAATCTGCCACTGTTATCAACAGGCGAATATGACAAAATGGGCTTACTAAAGAAGGTACGTACTTGCTTAGACTTGACAGGTCAATTATCAACATGAGCAAGGCAAATTAGTACTGCTAGAAATCGATGAAGTACTCTAAAACGTACAAGGTACACTATTATATTCCAAGCCGGTGAGATTAGTAGGCACTCCTTCCCATTTTCATGGAGGGGGGCGCAATGCTCATTTAAGTCATAACTATATGGACTACACTCACTGACAGCACAACTTCAAAGAGTAATGACAAACCTACCCATTGTGGCATCCGAAGAAGAACACAAGAAAAAAGACAGTTATGTCAAAATCACAACACAAGGGCTCAAAACAGGCCCGGGAAGGCGAAGACGCATGATTGACTGACCAATGCCAAGAACTAAAAGGGGCTTACATCGTGCGGTACTAGCAGACTACATGCGAGACCACATACCGTAATTAAACACTTGTTCCGGACTCTTATGAAAGGAAAAGTGAACCAGAACGTAGAAGATATTTCGACACCTGATCTCATTAAAAAATGGGAAGAACTCAAAGACGCTATATCGTGTTCAGCAACAGGCATATCCGGTGGACGACATATCATTTCAGACTATGAATGACGCAAGTGATCATGGAATAAGAGGTTGTCTATTTTAAGTCGTAGACGGGGTCAGACGAGATATATTCTATTTTTCAAAAGGCTTAAACCCGCACAACAAAGATACGGTACAAATAGAAAGGAGCTACTAGCACTGTGTACAGCCTAGAACACTTTTCAGAGCACATCAAAGGTGGTGGGATAACGATATGGACATCACAAAGCGCTATGCCAAATGAAGCAACAGCAAACACTGCATACCATGCTAGCAAAGTGGATAGCAAAAAAAAAGCATTATAAAAACGACCAAATGATCAAGTCGCCGATTTTAAAAACAATGGACCTTGAAACAAACATGGCCATACTGATATCTGCCATAAACTGGAAATTACATCCACGATTCTACAACGAAGCAGAACGCAGGTTCTTGAAATCCACCATCGATTTACTCACGGTGGCGCATAATACCCACAGAGCAAAGTTTTACACCAAAGAACAAAATGCACTACTTCAAAAGTGGGAAGTTGGAATAAACGCATTGGCGAATCTACCATGGGAGACAATACCAGTGGTTTTTGACAAAGTCATAGAGGAAGCCATCAGCATCATAATATGTGTACCTTACTACTAAAATACAACGTGGCTCCCCAAATTCTTGTCACTACTAGAACAAGACCCAATGATAGTAGAAAACACGAGCGACACATTCTGAAAGGGGGCACAACAGCTTGCGGCAAGACACCCGGGGGGGGGTCACACCAGTAGCCAAAATGGGCACAAATTCATCATACCTTGATCAAAAACTAGCACAACACCCAGCAACAAAGATTTTGGCGGTACAAATCACGAACGAATCGACAGAGCTAGACACAGTCACATATGATGACAGAGCTAATGATAATATCCAGACATTAGAAGGGAGACTGAGACGCATCACGCAAGAACAGAACGAATATTACGCCAGTCTTACCAGTCGTCTCGATACATCATTTGTGAAATTCAAAAACGCCGGAAGTTCGAAGTCCAACAACAGCCTATGCGCTATTCCACTGCAGGCTATATACGACGATAATCAGCGTTGAAGACACCCGCTATGATAGCCATGCCGTACGATGAGCTTACCACTTACTTCATCGCATTGGATCCAGACGAAAGTGACACATCAGCCATTGTGCACGGTGCACATACAGCTGTATCGACAGAAAAAAGTGCATTCTGCAACAATCCTGGACACTTCATCGGGCAATGCCGTAAGATATAGCAAGCTCTAATCAAATCGTGCGTTGCTGGTAAACCACGTAATCAGAGTCGTAATCACCACGGTCGTAAATCTTACGATCGATGCATTGACAAATCTGTTCCTTATCACGACATGAGAGACTACGGATATATGTCCAAGAACAATGACAAGTATAGCCGACCTGATTCAAATCTTGGCTACCGTACACGTGAGGAACTACGATGATCATGACCGACAGGACACAAGAGTAGATAGATACAATCTACACGACTGCGACAATTGTTAGATATCCACGAGACACCCAACGTTCACAAGACAAGTGACAGATCATACCGAATTCAAAGCAATCAACAACAAGCTCATGAAGGTAGACAGGACAAAGCAATGTCAGCACAAGTATCCGATGACCAGCTACCTACTAACAGATTGATTTTATTCCTCAAAATTGATCCCACAATCGACAACAAGGAGGTGAACGATCAGCCAGACTAAGATTCCAGAGGTGGATACTGATTAGCTTGCGATAGTTGTGCCATCATCCACGTACTTCTCTATAAGTACCACAAGCATCATCTCATCCGCAACATGTGCATTAATGACCGGTATGCACTCGAAGTAGCTGATGATACAATCATTTATTCAAAGTATGTGGCTCAGCTAGGAAACTTGGTGGACGTACTCATCGATATGACATTCAAAACTGCACTACTAAGTATCAGCCTGCTCTCAGCACGACATTACTCATTTGAATTCACCAACAGCATGATGTACATATTACTACCAAGCTTTGGAGCTATAACAGTGCACGAAAAGTACAGATTATACTGTATGCACATCGACGGCAAAGCTATAACTACAGTGGAACCATCGCCAGAGAAAGCCATCCAGATTACATGGTACAACAGGCTCGCGCACCCCAGCTACGTCCCAAAAGATTTACCCTATATAAGGCAACCAGAGGAACGATGCAAAGCATGCACTATTGCTAAGAAGAAGAAGAAGAATACAAACAAAGAATGTCAGCACGAACCTGCCACAGAGCCTCTCGAGTTAGTCTTCGTGAACATAATAGACACGTTCGCAACTTCAATAAGATACAACACCCACTCTGTATCAATCATAGACGAATTTTCTAGCATGGCCAAATAGTATCTGATCCGTGATCTGAAAGCAACAACAACTCTTGACGCTATGTTACACACATTCGATGAATGATATATTTGAACTTGTCGCCGAGTTCACTGCATACAAATGGATCGAGGCTCACAGTTTACAGCAAAAGTAACTAGGTGCATGCTTACGTATTTGGAATACCGCTCAAGGCACGCGCATACGGCCACGCCACAATACCATGGCAAGTTAGAGAGACTGCATGGTACACTGGTCCCTAGAATGCTTGCACAATTGAAGTATGCACGCCCACCGACCACTATGTTGGCCGAATCACTGATTCAAACTATCAAAAAATACAATGCTGTACCCACCAACGAGAAGAGCTCATCTTCATGCACGGTGCGACGAGTCTGATAACGCGAGGTGCGAGGCGGCTTTCTCGCCTTTTGTTTGTGCACTTGGTGACTTGGCGAAAGGGCCGCCTCACACCTCGCGACAGAAAAAAGGACTCGCCTCAGCAAATTTCTCTTGAACAAAACCTTTACTCCTACCATTATATTGGAGAAAAAAAAGCTGATTTCTATGAGGCCCACAAGTTACTCTCTAAGCCCTTGTTCTTGCTCTGGGTCTCCCTAATGTAACGCGAGTGGTGATTACCATTTTGCATCTGTTGATATAAGTGGATTTATCAATTCCGCAACATATAAATATATCTATGTATGGAAGAACATTCATACCTAAAAGAAACGTATTGTGGGGTAGGTCCAATACTTCGAAACACTGGGAAGTTTACCTTTATCCGCAGTAAATATCCCGTACTTCGGTTGACCCTGTCCTTTGTATTTTCGCATCTGTTTGTGCTAGTTGTATATAGCCCGGTTGTGCTCAAACTGATAGACGTAGTTCTGTCACCACACTTCTGTCCATACATGAGCGTTATGTGACTGAGTCTACGAGTGCCTTGTATGTATTACTACTAATTTGTATGTGAACGTGGTAGTCTTTGGTGTCGTGATGTGGGAAGCAAGGATAAAAATTGGTAATTTATATCATTCATATTTATTAACAACATTTCTTCGTCTGTATTTGCTTTTAGCCTGTCTGCCAGATCAAATATGTTTCCATGCTTCCGCCCACCTTTTGTCTGATAGGTCTAATACTTCGAAACAGTGGGAAGCTGTCCTTTATCCGTAGTAAATGTCGCATAACTCGGTTGACGCATTGTTGTGTGTTAGCTGTATGTAGTCCAGTTGTGCTCAGACTGATCGATATAGTTCTGTTAGCATACTTCTGTCCACACATGAGCGATATGCGCCTGAGACTACGAGTACTTTGTATGTATTACTATTAATTTGTATGTCAATGTGTAATCTTCGGTCTCGTGATGTGGGAATCAAGGATGAAGGCTGGTAATTTATACCATTCGTTTTTAATTACTACGTTCTTTCATCTGTATTTGTATTTAACCAGTCGATCATGTTTGCTTCCACCCACCAGTTGTTTCAGGACTCATCGCTATCTGTTTGCTCTTCTACGTTCCCTGTGGTAATGGATAATCGTGCTAAGTGCACGTCATTCTTGCCACGTTCTTCAGCTTCCTTATATTGATTTGTGGCGGTAGCAGTGGTTTGTAGAATATAGTTTAGTGAATAGCTCATAAAAGTGGCACTTATAGCTGACGAGCAAAATAAAAAACGTCAGCATGTAGATAAACTATACAATGTGCTCGGTGTATCATCGGAACCGGCCGATTACATTATGCCGTATGCACCGATGTCAAAAGAGAATACTTTGCGAAGAGACCATCATATAGGTCACGTACGCGCGTTATGTAAAACAGCGGGTTTTGACATAAAAGAAGCACATGTTTATGTACCAAAATTTTTAGAATCTATTATTAGTGAGAATAAAAAATATAAATATAACAGATGTTGCAGTTAGATTCTATTGGTGGTAACATATTATGACTGTGCAAAGCACGATTTTCCGCGCATTATCAAAAAGATGGGCATGAGACGAAAGATAGCGTTGCCAAAGTGAGAGATGCCTTATTGTCTGCTGTTGAAAGACCAACCGCTGAAACTAAAATAAAAACGCACATTTTTACGATGTATGATGCCGTGAAAGCTCAGTACGATATGACAACACTAAAAGATGAGAAAGGCCTAATCCAGAAGAAGAGAGTCGTCCGCTGTTAATAAGTGACTTTCGACAACAATCTTAAATATAATATGAATGGATGACACATAAGTAGTATCTTAAGATATCAAATTATTCCCCTGTCCTTCTGTACGGGATTTTGTTACATATGTGCAAATGTCAAAGGGCAGTTGTTGTTTTTATCGGCCTTGAACTGGTTATGGATTTATGATATGGTGATGGTATTCATTGCTGGTATGTTACAGAATCCCGTTGTTGGGGAGGCACAATTAAAAGATGTTCCATATACGCTGCTTCAGTTTATCAAGGAATCAACTTGAGACGTATACAACGTTCACTTCGGACAAGGTATGAGTGACTACAGAAGTAGACGTATTCCTAAGTACGATAATAATGTTTTACGTCGTCAGCCCGAGAGTAATTTGGGACTTGCTCTCAAATTAATATATGTATAGGTGGGTCAGTCCGAGAGAACGTAAGAGTAATTCGAGACTTCTTCTCAGATTAATCTATTTATAGAACACGGGCCACTGGCTAGCCGAGAGCCGAGGTCCGAGACTGAGTGTAGTATCAGAGAATATGATATTTATATTTCTAGAAAATATATCCGAGTGTTAAAGTGTTGTGCATAAGATTTCTCATCCTGATCATATGAGTTTTTACCCTGGCCAACCCAAGTGGTTGAACACTAGTACAAACACCATCAATATATGACTGAAAGGGTAAGATCAGAAATAAATTCGTTCGAACGCACCATTCTTTAGATGCATTTGCACTTTATTTAAAGTCTACTACATTGCACTCTTACACGGTATACCATTTGCACATTTGTCTACATAGCATAAGGCAGCGCAAATCACAGCCATATCACTAAGAGCGCCGGCACTGAGAACGCCCCGGACTGTACTCTCTGCCGTGAGTTTATGGAACTCTGATGCAAGCAACTCGTTCCTCCTATCAGATTGGCTGCATACGCTTTTATCAAATGCTTTCAATCGTTTCAAATCCTGCTGCTCGACAATCAAGACTATAGTACTACTATATCAACTACATGCCGCAGATGGATTTCTTGGTGAAGATCTGCAAAGCGTACGAGGTGAAGCAATCGCAAATATTTCTCAAGAGAGGTTAGACGAGAGAGGGGGTTTCCACTCCAGAGTACCTGATGGATGTTTACAGAGGCTCAGCAAGGTGAGGACGGTGTTTTTAACGTACATGTCTGAAGCACAACTGCAGGAATTTTCGTCACGCACCAAGTCATGCACTTGCCTACAATAACTCACAAAAAAATATATACTTTATGCTCACTTTCATTTGTGGCGAGATATGTAACGAATTGCATTACATCTATGACGGATATATTTAACCCTTCCGACATCTACAATTCTTTGGTCTGTTTGGGTCTTGAGAAAGAGACCGAGACAAAGTGCGTTAAAAGTTCGACCTTGGGGTATGCAAATGTACTTCGAAGAGAAAAAGGTATCGGTGGCACCGAGATGTGCAGAGATGCTCAGGATATTATCACAAATCTAGATATAAATATATACAGTACAATTGACGCACCTCAATTTTGTTCCTAACAATAGGAGAAGAAGGCCAAAAACAGCAGTACGCGACACGCTCAAAATAAAAGCATGAAAGCTGCTAACAGATACAGAATGTAGACAACTGGCGATAGATACGTAAGAACCAGCATACCCCAATATGTAGGAACTAGCGGATGACAACGCAGAAAAAGGATTTATGTATAAAAATGGGGATTCTTTACCACCTCTAGCTGTAGGTGAAGTTGTATTAGCATTTGGTATGGAATACACAGAAACAAATTGTTTCAATACACCCTGTATTGAACATAATCGATGACGAACTTCGAAGATTTCAGTAACACGTGACCAGGGGAGGCTGGCAGGACTACCACATGGATAAGATTCTAATTGAATTAGAAATGGAAACACTCTGGTTATATTAGACCAAAAATAACAAATCGTGTTGCAGTCATATATGGAGGATATGGAAAGGTACTTTGGTAAAAAAAGGGCACAGTTTCTTAGGAGCAGCAATACAATAAAAATATGAGACAGGTAGAGTAATTCAGACGATGCATGAAAATAGCAAAAAAAGCTATCAGAGTCCATTCAACCTTGCTGGCATTTGTTCGATATATCAAAGACTTCCAAACAAGAAAAATATATTCTTCTTCAGCGACAATGCAACCGACTTTTCAACCATTAAGTACTTTATGACAGCAACGAAGATAAACACAAAAATTGCGAGAGAGGGGGTTTCCACTCCAGAGTACCTGATGGATGTTTACAGAGGCTCAGCAAGGTGAGGACGGTGTTTTTAACGTACATGTCTGAAGCACAACTGCAGGAATTTTCGTCACGCACTAAGTCATGCACTTGCCTACAATAACTCACAGAAAAATATATACTTTATGCTCACTTTCATTTGTGGCGAGATATGTAACGAATTGCATTAAATCTATGACGGATATATTTAACCCTTCCGACATTTACAATTCTTTGGTCTGTTTGGGTCTTGAGAAAGAGACCGAGACAAAGTGCGTTAAAAGTTCGACCTTGGGGTATGCAAATGTACTTCGAAGAGAAAAAGGTATCGGTGGCACCGAGATGTGCAGAGATGCTCAGGATATTATCACAAATCTAGATATAAATATATACAGTACAATTGATGCACCTCAATTTTGTTCCTAACAATAGGAGAAGAAGGCCAAAAACAAAAGAGACCTACGGCGTGCATGCAATTCATGCGATGATATCATATCCGCAGCCTGACATTGACATCTTGCCACTTGTGGTCTTATGTAGGTAAGTTTGACAGTGATTACAGTCTGTTTATGTTTAATAAGCAGTACTCGAATCCTACCACCAGACACACCGCCATTTAAACTAAAGAAGTAAGAATCAAACACGCATTCTCAGACGACAAAGGCACAAGGAAAAGAAGTGTTTTCATAAATACAGTATTAAAGTTTGTTAGTACAGCTAGCGTTGTACAGCAAACACGTGCCGAACGTTTAGCGAGACAACTGCTGGAAGTGAAGGCAGAAGGCAATGGTACTGGTCAGCCCGATACACACGTGCCTGTACAGATATTACCGCGAATCAAGATTGACGACGGTTTGAAAGATAGGTTGCGCTCCTGTACTGGCAACGAAACAACAAAATTGATAAAGCACCAAGAGAAGGTATGCATGGACTGGTACATGCAAAGTGAATAATGAGAACAAGATCTATTTGGAAGTAGCCCTACAGAGACTTGAGGAAGATGTATCCAAGAGCTAGAATGCTAGTATTAACACTACGCTTGATACTGTGAAGAAAGTGTACACAAAGACAGCTGCAGCACTGAGCTCATTGATTCTGGAAATTGCAAATTAAAAGCTATGCAGTGCTTGCGGTGCCTACTTTAATACGGTGGGCTCTCACACGAAGCAGTCCAAAGTTTTAATCGAGGACAGAACCTACTTTGAGTGGTTTAATGATAAATCAAATGAAGAAGATAAAGAACCGACGAGTGACTCGGTAGGGGAGTATAGGTGGTCAACAATAAGACGAAATACAATTGCTGCACGTACAATAAGCTGGAGAGACACCTACACGACGACCCAATCTTCTCCTTCCGGACATCAATACAATGCCATGGGCACCAGATAGAGCTTCGATACAAACACCTGCTCACCATAACTTCCCAATATCACAGATACCTATACACCTGCACGGTGCGGCATATTGTCGTTATAGAAACCCCGACAAACACCAGCAACCATAGCTGCAATAAAATTACCCCAAAAACGTGAAAGATTTGGAAAGGTTCAGTATTTCTTGATCAAGAAACATTGGCCCTGCCCGATTCCGGGTCCCATACATCATAATGGCATCCGCAAGTATGACTGAGAATACACCACGGCCAAAGTACGAATACTCCATGGCAATCAATACTACCCGCGGAAACTACATCCAATGAGCAATTGCCCCAAGCGTATAGTACACTTTGAATGCAACGCCAACAGCTCATTTTGACCCGTAAAGATATATGCGAGCAAGCATATTAGTAATAAAAAATATACGGTCTCAGTATAATGCAGAAAGCATGAACAAAGACCCACACAATCCAAATAATTCACCAGGAAAAAGTACGCATCACTCACCAACGGGAAATTCAAGGGTATTTCCTCTAGACATAATATATCTGTTGCGCTGTAGCAGTATGTGGAGTAGCCTCACAGGAGTTCAAAAATGTTCGTGCGCATCAAATTCTGCGACGGACTCAGAAATGATAAAACGCAATAGATTGCAATTTAAAACGCAACTAAAATCACGCCATGATCGCAATCAGAGTAGCTGAATGCAGTAAATATCAAGTATGATTCGACTGTATTGTTCATTGAGACAGTTCCTATGCGTTTCACGAGAACATGTGCGAATACATACTTATCAATGCTCATCTGCCTACACAAGCAATCTGATAGATTGATCAAGTATAATTCATTGCGTGCCACGACATGCTTTTCAGCTCTCCACATATACTATAATTGACCACTACATGTATTATAAATACGCCGTAGTAGTTATATATTATTAATATACCAAAAAGAGCTACATATAAACTACCGAAATGTCACTTTCAAGTACGTCTATTTTACGTTTTCAATAGTATCGTTCTGTTGTATCGCTTCCCCTCTATTCATTGTACTTATTTCTTGCGTCATCCAATAAATAGTCATTTATAGCGCGATCTACTTATCGTTCGATATGTATCACTTTCTCACAGGTTCCGATCTTATGAAATGAAATCCAAAAAATCAAGTCACCAACTAGGTGAAGTGATTCCGCTGCACCTTCTTGGTACTTGGCTATCCACCCCATATACGGCATAGACGGAAACATCTAGTTGGCAGACCATGAGGACTCTAACCTGCCCTATTCCACAGTATATTATCTTGCCATGTGAGTATTTGATAATATATCAGACAAGGCAACATTTTTGCTTGAGTCGCTGCCATGTATATAAACATGTTCGGTGGAAAACTGATAATTATAGAAAAACCACCTACTATTTTCAATAATATCCCACTCTAAAGTAAACATGCTGTATTTTTATCTGCAAAAACATGTACTTCTACTATGTCAGGAACCCGCTACTGTACACAAATCTGGTGCAGCTAACAAAGCGTAGGCTTATATTAAAGGTATACCTTCTTTGTAGCATCTAGGGATCGACTATAAAAATAGCCAATCCAAAATGCAAAACCACAGAATACGAAAACGTGAGTTTTAGGTCCGGATCCAAATATTCCTGATATTAGAGCCATCAGCAATATTAGCGGTAGAACCGGTGAGTTAACCCGGGGCCCGTGTGTGAGAAAAACACTAAAGTAGAAACCAGAGTCTAGTGAATTAAAAAACACCCAAACAAAGACTCAGTTTGTTTCTACCAGGCTGAGGACTTTAACTAGCTGAGATGATCGTACTTGAGAAGAAGTATATTGTTTCCTTTGGTCGTACCTTTCCAACTACTTTCTATAATCTACGCATTGTATGCAGATAAGCATGACGAGGCTAATCTGTATTCATATATGGCCAGACATTACCGATCCAAGATAGATTCTGAACTTTATGTAGTCCAAATCGAGAAGACTGTGGAGAGCAAGAAGCTCGTCAATGACATAGATGTATTGCCAACAACGTACCGACCACATCGAAAAGATAGGCAAGAGCTCCGAAGAAGTCCGGTCAGACCATACTAACAGCAAACTTCTGCAACAATCTCGGTACGAGGCGGTACGAGGTGGTACAGCAGAGTTTCAAACTATTCACTTACAAATATTACATATATAAGAAACTGAAGAAGGCGAAATCTACTGCGAAGCGACTAAAGACGTGGAAAGAGCAGAACGAGATAATCGTCTGACTCTTCTCAATGGACCCTCGACCGGAAATACTGGTATCGTTTATGGTCTAACCGGGAGAAGGAACACCAGTGTCACGCTACATATTGCCGTTGGACACACAAGTGACGCGAGCTCAACCGATATGTGGTATGTCCCTAGAGAGTTTGAGGATGTGTGTGCTATGGGTGCAGACAGTCTTTTGCTTGGACTTTCAGAGGAAAGATTACGAGGTGCTGTACGCAGACATGCATTAATCATATCTTGATAAGGTGTGTGAGATTTCAGTTAAAAGACCCGCTAATGGAAAATAAATCTCTCCGACCTAACTTGGGGCGGAGTTGTACTTAAGAGCAGACAGACCTTCGTTCGAGTTTTTGCGGTATAAGTTGTCCAAACGAATAGGAAGGCCACTGTCAATGCGAATGAAGAATCAGTTTTTGGTCGAGACTCTAATTCTGCAACAAGATAAGGTATATGGAACAGTGTAAGTGGCAAGATGGCCATCAAACAAAGATACATCAACATCCACCAGTTAGATTGTACCGACCGTTCCATCTCTCGTTTGGTTCGTGTTGTATCCTCTTACAGTCACAACTAGTTAGATATCTAGTTAGAGATCTAGTTAGGTTCTGCGTAGAAATCCTTCGTCGACTGGTATGTTAAATTTCCTCTATCCCTCTCCGTGATAGTAAATATGTTTGTCTATCAATCGTCTACACTGACGTGTTCCATCGTGGCAGCATTCATGATCTATTTACAATGTCTGTGATACCTTCCCGGAGAACGCCTGTACGTACATTGCGCATGCTGGTGTGACCTTGAGTTTGTTTTGGCCATATATGTATTTGGTCTATTATTTCATTATGTGCATGTAATAAGTATTTATCATAGTTTCGTTAAATTCTACGTAGTGTATCTCTGGGTATACAACAAGCCACTGAATATTTCATGAACAATAATTAAAACTGTAATTATTCCAGAAATGTGATACTATGTTTACCTTATATATCAAAAACGTTGCTGTGGCATAGTCAATTGCATTTGTGGTGCTATATTTGGTTCGTGTTCAAGTGCAAGGCTAGGCTCAGGTAGTGTATTATAACTACCGAGGATACTGCAGATTGGAGGACATCTGAATCCTATGTGATTTCCTCCGTGTTGCATAGTACCCAGAACTGATAAAGTGAACCGTAGGTGGTTTATGGCGCCCAGATTTGAAATGTATAACCTATGAGTGGTGCATAGCACTCTGCATTAATCTATTCAGCCGTGAGTGGTGCATGGTATCCAGAGTTGACAGATTCAGCCCAGGGGTTGTATGGGGTGTCGATCTAATACTACTATGTGTAGGCGCAACGCGTGATGGAGGTGACATAAGGCTCGTCCCTAATATATTCAGGAGTGCACTACATAACGTGGCATTTGTAAAGTCAGACTAACCAGGCTGACTATCGATGTCAATAAGTCAACGTAAAAGAAGTACGATTTAGAAGTAAATTTGCACAATGTAATTTTAAGTTTAGCTTCAGCCCTTGGTAATACTAAAAGATTAGGGTATTTAAGACTGAGACTATTGTCTATATAGTTCCGCTCTAATCACTCAATACTTCGGTCTAGATTTATTTGGTGTCAGTAACTAAGATCAGATTTCATTCCATTGGATGCATTACATTCATTCCATATCATTTCGTGCTTCGAAACAATCTTCCGATCGCAAGTACTAATAAATTAACTCTAAGTCCAACTTAAAAATACAAAAAGAAATCAAAAACACCATGTTGGTACAGTTGAATGTCTGCACCTATACCCCATCACATGGTACCTAGCTCTCCATCACATTGAAGGCATAGTCGGGCACATTTAGTCTGCTGGCTAGGGGGGGGGGGATTTTTATGCCCCATTTCTCAGTGGGCTATCTCGCGGTGAAAGTATTCGGTAATATAACATGCGTCATCAAGTGTCAATTTCACCTGAGACTCTCCCAACTATTATGTTCAAATATTACGATGAAAAACATATCATTATAGAAAAACCATCATCTTAATATCAACAGTCTCTGAACTCTGTTGTATACAATTATATTTCCAAACATCCTAAAATAGATTATTTGTTTGTTTGTTCTCTGCATTTTCAATATATCTATATTTATTAGTTTATTTGATAATTTCACAGTTACAAATATCTAAAATTGCGTTTTACGTATACCAGGTTTTATAACCGTATTACGTTTAAACGGCAATACGTTTAAATTATACGTTTAACATGTGCTTCTACTATAGGAACCCGCTGATTTTACACAGCCCTCAGCTTGAAAATTCCAATGTTGGCTTATATGTGATTTGAAGCACATAGACTCAAAAAAGCTCACATGAATTGTACAAGCAAAACGAGGAAACGGGTTTCGATCATATACTGGCCTCAATGCTTATATTATATTCTCTTAGACAAAGTTTACTTGGACTTTATAAGTTACTCGGTTACTCTATTACGTTTAGGTTTAGGTCCTTGAGGTCCCCGATGGTGGATGGGACGTTTCTTAGTGCCTTTAGGGGGTACGTACATCACATGGTCCTTGAAACTTGGAATGAATGATGTCTGCGGATAAAACACTGCTGGGGCGCCGCAGGGACTGAAAGCGTTTTTTCAAAGAGGGTATTTAATTTGTGAGCTGAGGATGAGATTTCTTGAGGAAACCATCGCCCCCCCCCCCGCCTCCCCTCCTTTTCTCCCTCACTTTCACTCAACAGTCAACACACACACACAAATATGTACGCACTGTTGCTCAGTTACACACGCTCACACATAAACATACTCACGGGGAGGGAGGGGGAAAGCCCCCCCCGCCTTTTTATATAAAACAGCATTTCTTTTCAGAAAAGTATGCTCTATTTTTATATATATATATAAATTCCATTAAGGATCCCTCGGGGGCCTCTTAGGGGCCTATAAGTGGGGGGAAAGCGCTCCGGACAGATTTCAAGTTCAATAAAAGAAATAGGGACTCTACAGCTACGCTTTCGGTGATAAACCTTAGCTACGTCAGGACGTTTGTTTGTCGGTAAAATAGCCTCTGTATCATTTTTGTTCTTATGCAGGCGCTTGCGAAACTTCTTATTAAACGCCTTTAATACGTTTGGGTCGTCGAATGCCGATGGAGGTAGATCGTATTGTGCGCCATCTGCGAACTCTGTCGTATAGTAAGTCATACCTCCATGCTTGTACTTCCCCAGAACTTTCCTAAACTGGTAAGACATAAGAGGTGTAGTAGCTTCACGAGTGCGACGAAGGATCATTTCTGTCGTCGGAATTTAATCTGATCCGACATTAAGAGCACTTGAACCGGCAACATAGTTAACTTCGTAAGTTCCGCTCTTTTTATCGGCCACTGAAATTATGAATGATCCAATGTATTTAGCCGTAAGCACAGTTGTATCGGAGTTGTGAGCCATGATGTTGACTATGTCGCCCACCTCAAACTTGACTATCTTCTTTGAATCATTCCATCGCTTCTGTCTCTTCTTGAGTGCGATGTCCTTCATCTCTCTCAAGCAAGGAAAAACAACGTCTCTGGTACGACGCATCTTCTCTAACCATGGCAACACGTGATCATCCTGAGAATCCTTGTTGAAAGGTACTTGTAATTCACTATTACGGCCCCTGAAATAGTGAGCGGGTGTTGTACTAGTGACTGAATCCGGTGTCTCGTTCATTTGTGTCTATACCCAGTTAGTTGAGTATAGCCACATGTCAGCATCGTCTAGCAACGCTCCACGTATGAACTCCTTCATCTTTCTGTGTCGTAACTCATTCACACCTTGTGTCTGAGGCTTATAAGGTACACCCATCTTGTGGCATGATCCCTCAACGAGTAACAGTGTCGTCATGACATCGCCTGTAACTACCGTTGTCGGTACATACAATAGCTGGCCAGCCGAAATCTGCGAAACACTTATATATGCACTCAGCCCAGTTTGTGTTGATTTGTCTTTCAGAGGATATAGTACGTTAGATCTTGAAGCAACATCAAAAACGTGGCAGACATACTTATCTTTCGTGTGTTCGGACGTCGGTATCTCAACCAAATCAATTGAGAGACTACAGGTCTCAGACCGAATTTTACAGCAAGAAACCCTCTTTGATTTATGGAAGTCATCAGAGTTAGCTCACTCCCGCGAGCTAATCAATTTGCTTAAATTACTCTCAAGATTTGAGTTAATACTTATCCAACTTCCGAGAGCAGATTAAGTTTCTCAACCGATTCCCGAGAGTGGATCAAGCCTGTCAACCGCAACATTCTAATAATAGCTGCGGTTCTATGTGAGTCACAACCTATGCGGAAGGCATCATGTGATCAGCGTGAGATTTAGTTGCAGATAAGTTGGAATAGAAAAGCATCGAAGTGTTAAAGTGTTCCGCACAAACACCTTAAGGTATAAAACGAAAGGTGAGGTCAGAAATAAATACATACACTTTGCACTTTATTTGAAGTCTACTACATTGCACTCTAACAATAACCCCGTACCTCTTACAATCTTTCTCAGTCCTAACCTTATCCATGTATTTTAGAGTATGATTTTGCCTTAACCACGTCAGAGTGTCGTCCGCCGATGAACTTGTTGTATCAAAGTTTGGAGGTGAAGATTCCACCACTACATCACTTGGACTTGAAGACTCGTCTGGTCCAATCTCGCCTGAAAGATCGAACGTGTGAATTCTACTAATGTTCTCCTTGTCCATTAGTTTAGTTGCATGGTCGTATACATCTGGAATATCGTTCATCAACTGCTTGAGTAACCTTGTCTCGGTTTCGTATGCAGTTGCTCTATCAGACCGTATCTTCTAGATTGCTTTCGCTAGTGATGAGTTCCTCTTTGTTTCTGTAGGATCAAATGGTATCTCGGTGACGCATACTGCAGGTGCATGTGTCGTCCCAGCCTCTCATTGAGACTTAGGTGTCAAGAGTTGGATCTTGGATTCTTCAACCTCATGTTTGAAGGTCTCGGACAGTGTCCATTTGGATGTTCCAACTGAACCTATGTCGCAATGGAGTCATCTGGACTGCACGGGTACCCGGGTAGAGGAAAGTATCTACCTCTCTATCCACATATATATGGGCCCATATTGTATCATTGATATCAACTGCGGGAGCCATTTATCTGAATGTCTTATGGGACAACATAATTTAACAATTGTGGTATCAACAACCGCGGTGGATTCGCCCATGCGTTCTCATCTGATAAGTCGATTTGAAACCCATCACCGTCTGGATGTTCCAGAGTTCGGTATCGCGGCAGTTGCGCATTACGATGTGCTGCAAACATATGTGGACCATTTATGTTGTCTGCAATATTAAACCACCTCAGATTGGCCATCCAATCCGTAGCTAGTAGTTCTCGGACCATCTTGTTGAAGTCCGGTACAAAGCGTGACAGCATATCCGGTAAGTGATTATATATCCCTGATATATGTGTTATGCTAAATGAAAATTTCGCGATCGTGTCGTGCCATCGACTGACTAATTGTGAGTTGGGTTTCATGTCCTTTAGATGCTACAACAATTTCTGATCGCACAGTACATTGAAAGGTGTACCGTAGAGATAGTCCTTAAAATGAGTGAGTGCAGTCACAATAGCCAATATGTAGAAATACGGCCTCCGGTCAGTCTAAATATCAAGATCAAATGAGATAACACATTGGTTTTTATTTGTATTTAAAATAATTTAATACAAGTTTTTTTCCAATATTTCCAAAGTGTTCTAAATTCACTTTGATGGCTCCAATAGCCTGAGTATTTGGCATGACTCATTTGCTTGGACCTATTTGAGACGATAGTAGATGTAGGATATTATAAACTAAATTTTATAACCTCTGAACTACTACTTATAGGTTTTGGTCTTCCCGCCAATCTCCAAAATCCAATAAGTCTTTTTCTTTTTTATACTTTTCTTCAGATGGAACTTTATTATATTAACTAATGTATTAACTTGACTTACGTTCTTATGTCTATCTACGAATTGGACATGCGGTCATGAACACTTAGTACTTCTAGTGAAAACTATTCAATAAAGAACAGCTATAGATACGTCCTGTGTGATCGAAGATATTAAGGCTCTTACCAAGAGGCAGTCCCGATCATTCTTACACAAGCTACCACTGCTAAATCCTAACTGACTTAAATTGTATCTTAGTTTATATATCATAATTTAAACATAGAAATATCCATCTAAGTTTACAAATAGCTCCTGTTGCACCGTCGGGTAGTTGATATTTGACGAGTTCATAGCCCTGCTAAAGAACTGCACGTATCTCGGTTTCCTGTCAATCTTTTGATACAGAACGCTTCCTAACGCCATGTCGGATGCGTCTGTAGCCATCATGAATGGTATTCCTTCTTTCGGCGGCTGGACTACTGGAACTTGCTGAACTACTGTTTTGAGCTGCTTAAAGGCATCATCACATTCTTTGGTCTATAACGGTCCCAATTTACCCTTTTGACATCGTAAGTGTTCGAAAGGCTTAAGGTAGCTTGCCAGGTGTGGAACTCCATCTGACAGGAAGTTGACGAATCCGCACATGCTATTAACGTCCTTGCCTGTAGTGGGGGTTCTCCAATCCAGAAAGTGTTCGACCTTTCCGGGGTCGATCATAATACCCTCCCCGGAAACTCGGTAACCCAACAGCTGTATCTCGTTTACACCAAACTGACATTTCTTGCTGTTGATCTTGAACTTGTGTTTGTTTAGCCTTGCCAATACTTCTTGCACTACTCTGTCATGCTCCTCTTTGGTCTTGGTTAACACCACAATGTCATCGATATATATCGGTACATTATCCATGTTCCTAAACAGGTCCTGCATGATCTGATGAAAGAAGGTTGGCAACATATGTAAACCACATGGTGCTCCCTTGAATGAATACTGCTGTCCATCCCATGTGAAGGTGAAATACTTCCTATGTGGTTTGTATAACTTCATTTGGTGGTAGCCTTGCTTCAAATCGATGGTAAAAAATATCTTCGCTCCTTCCATTCTTCTCAACAATTCATTAATTCTCGGTAGGTGAAAATTGTGTGTAGGTATAAGAGCATTTATAGGACTCATATCAAACACACGAATCTGCTTTTACGTGCCATCTGAGTTAAACTGGTCTACAGCCAAGAGTGCAAGGTTGACTGGAGTCGGTTCATAGTTGACTGCAATTACCCCGTCTTCCAACCATGCCTTCACTTGTTCTCGAACTACCTGTTCGTGGCGCCACGCTACGTAGTTTCGCGTTGGACATTTCAACTTTGAAAAGTCAACTTTTGTCAAGTCTAAGCTCACGTATCCATTGTGAAATTAGAACTGCGCCCAGTCGGTGATCTTAATCTTGTTATTCTCGAAGATAAGATCCTTGAGTTTCTCCGTGAATTGAGGTGTCATCTTTTTCACAGTCTTTGAAGGCTTGTATACAGGCTTCAGCAGACTATCATCTGACTGATCCTTCTGTGGGTCTGTGTTCGTCGGTAAACCGGTAATCGTTATACCTAACGATAACAAATCTCCCATCCCCACTGTTATATCATAGTCTGGCAAAATGTTACAGACGACTGCCTTTGTAACTGTTGTCCGTTGATCAGCGAGGGTAAACCTCAAATCTATGGCCATGTCACGACATGTAATCTCCCTTTCCTCAGCTGAGATACATCAGTTATCTTACAGAATCTCGATGATATACATGAGATTTGCGAGCCCGGATCCAACAACGCTTTTATTTCATGCCCATTAGCTTGTACATCTGGAATGACGCGCTTATCTTGCAGTGCATTCTTTTGTTTCAGTGCCAAGATCCGGTAAGATTGTCACTTAACTTCTACCTTCGGTTGCACCCTTCACATGTGTTTGTGGTAACCTCCAGTCCAAGCGCATTCTGCACACTTCGCAATATAATGTTTACATTTCTCTGCGTGCCTGCCATTACAGCGTCCATTCGGCTCATGTTGGGTCATGCGCCAACCGGAATCCGTCTCAACACACTCCTTGACCTCTTTATACTTTGGTTTAGGAGGCTCGGCTGCCTGATTGGATTTGTTTCCTAAGGTCCCCTTGGTGTTGACATTGTTATTTTGACCATCAGCACCTTGCCCGTGCCTATTCTTCTGGCCAATTCTGTCTCCACCCTTGTTCCCTTTCTGGTTTCCCGTCCCCGCATGTGAGTCTCGACCACTACTCAGCCCTCCATTCGGGTTGGGCACCGCCTTCTTACTAGGCGGTATGAACTTCACCACAGAACATGGCCGTTTTGAAAACGTCTGGTCTGCGAGTTTCATAATACCATATGTTGGTCTTTCAATTGAAATCTCACGTACCTTGTCTGGATACGATTGATGCATGTCGGTGTACAGCACCTTTTGATCTTTTCGATGAAGAGACGACCAAAAGATCGTTTGCACCCACAACACGCACATGCTCAGCTTGTCTACTGACATTTTTTGTGTCTGAGCACGTGATATATGGGTGTCCAATTCCAAAAGGTAATGTGACACTGGTGTTCCTTCGTCCGGTGGTACCATAATGGATACCAGCAATTCCGGCCTGGGGTCTGTTGAGAACAGATTGACAATCATCTCGCTCTGCTCCTTCCACGTTTTCAGCTTTGTTTCAGTTACAGCAGCCTTTGCCTTCTCCAACTTATTATACTTATAAGATGACGGCTTGAAACTCTGTTGCGCAGCCTCGAAGCATAGGTTCTTATGTAAATATGCAATTAGCATGATTTGACAAAATTCCTTCAAAGATCTCGACAATAACGCTAAGTTACTCATATCGATAGGGTCCTTACGGTCTTTTCGATCTGGACGATAGGTAGTGGGTAACTTACCTATATCCTTGACAATTTTCTTACTGCCCACCGTCTCGATCTTGGATTGGAAATGCCTCGCCATTGTCATTCTTAAGCTGGCTTGCTCTATCGTCTCTTGATCCATCGCTAGCATCGCCTCTTCTTCTGCGTTCAGCATCCGAGCCGTGAAATCAGCAATCTTCTTGTCACTCTTCGATATCTCATCGACTGGTGTGTCCGTCTCCCTCATTCCAAGCAATCACTGATCATCTTCATAGTCACCGTCATCCTTCTGTCCTTCTTGCGCGTAGTCATCAACGTCGTCATCGTCAATGACTTCGTACGCTTGCCAGTCGGCGGTTGATAGTCTGATCCCGACGAGTCTGGTTCTTCAAATTCCGGCGATGTTCGACTCTCGTCATCGCAAGAACTCTTCGACTTCTCTTCCACCTTGATTTTTTTTGCCGGTTTTCTTCCGATCCTTGTATACTTGGAATGCGGATGCCAACTTCTGTAAGTCGCGCATGTAATCTTTGGTTCATGCACCGCAAGAACTTCGACTTCTCTCCCACCGTGAATTTTCTTTGCCGGTTTTCTTCCGATCCATGTATTCCTGGAATGCGGAGCCTCTTGACCTTGTGGCGTTGGGCTCTCCGGTTTTGATTCCGGCTGTTCCGGTTGCTTTGGCGGGTCTTCCGACGAATCCATCTTGGGACCTTTTCGCCCTTCTTCTCCTTAATTTTCTTTGACTTCTTAGACTTGAGTGGTTTACCCATCGTCACATCGTCAAAGACATCTTTGGGTAGGGCGTGTGCCATCATAATTGCCACATTGTCATCCGCTTGTGGATCAGGCGTCCATAAGTGTTCAAGAGGCGTGACCGTCGGCTGGCTCTTAGATGCCTTCGCTTTTCCTTTACGCTTCGTCATTGTCCCGATTGCGGTATAAACTTAAAATATATGTAAAAGTCAGAATAACCAGGCTGACTATCGATGACAATAAGTTAACGTAAAAGAAAGCACGATTTAGAGGTAAATTTGCACAATGTAATTTTTTAAGTTTAGCTTCAGCCCTTGGTATTGAGCTAAAAGATTAGGGGATTTAAGACTAAGACTGTTGTCTTTATAGTTCCGCTCTAATCACTCAATACTTCGGTCTAGATTTATTGATGTCAGTAACTAAGATCAGATTTCATTTCATTGGTTGCATGATATTTCATTCCATGTCATTTCATGCTTCGAAACAATCTTCCAATCGAAATTACTAATAAAATAACTCTTATGTCCAACTTAAGAAAATTAAAAGAAATCGAAAACACCATGTTGGTATAGTTAAATGTCTGCACCTATACCCCATCACATGGTACCTAGCTCTCCATCCCATTGAAGGCATAGAAGGGCACATCTAGTCGGCTGGCTAGAGGGGATTTTTTTTTTCATACCCCATTTTTCAGTGGGCTATCTCGCGCTGAAAGTATTCGGTAATGTAACATGTGTCGTCAAGTGTCAATTTCACCCGAGACACTCCCAACTATTATATTCCAATAGTACGATGTAACACATATCATTATAGAAAAACCATCATCTCAATACATGACCCTCTGGAGAGAGAAGAAAGAAAATATGGCTGAACGGACTAACGTCCGTTGGACAGGCCGGCTGACTCTTTTGCTTGGTACATTTGGATACATGCCCAAGTTGCTTGTATTATGATTAGTCGATTTTTCATGAAAATCTAAAAATATTCAACCAATTAAAATATAATATTTAAAAAAAAATTATGGTTCATTGGGTAAAATCACCTTGTGTTATGAAAAAATTATGTCTTTGTTCAAAGAAACACACTAACACACAAAACATGCTAATACGGTAGTATGAGGTTACTTTGTGCATACATATCCGTCACTTTTGTGAGCTTTCAAGATGGTTAACTGTGTCGTGGATGGTTGCTGCTCAGGAACTGGGTTTGACCATACCTATACTTATCGATTCCCGCCGAATGACGACTTTGTTCTACCAGTGGACGCACGCCTATCCAGTGCTTTGGCCAAAGGATTATTTCACTACAGTATCGTCGAAAGGTACTTGTGTTCCGAGATACTACTGTAGCAATCACTTTAGGGATGAAGACTTCCACTTGCTAACGGAAGAAGACTTTATCAAACACGCCAACAGAAAAAGAGGATTCAATCCCAATCCAAAGCACAGGCTAAAGCAGAATGCAGTTCCATCACTGCAATTCCCGAAGAGCACACATGTACGAAGTTTAGCCATCGACCATGAACGTCATAATCGTAACATAGCTCGAGCCAAGAGACAGAGAAATCAAGAAACAATTATGTTAATGACCGAAGAATAAATTCGAGCGCGAGAGAGAGAGGAAGATTTGGTACGCGATGTCAAAGAATTACGTGATGTGCTGATCGATGAGCATGCTGAATGGAAGGCAGATGAGAGAAATGACATGTAATTTTACAAGGTTATTCAATTAAGAATTGCAGCTTCTCCAGTTCCAATATCTGTCACATACGCAATACTCGTGAAACAGGACCTATCAGTCTGTGTGTATCGTCACAAATCCGTAGGATCACTGGTGAATATCTCAGACTCGCCTCTATACACTACAACTATTGTGTATGAACGTAGTAATAAGTATATACGATGAGTCCGTAGTTTTTCAGAGTTTACAGCTTTATTAAATACAATACATATATCGTATGACCTATTCGACCCTGCAACTTGACCTGAAACAAATTGCCAATCAGCTAGAGAGCTATGCAGAATCTCTTGCGAAGTTATCGGCGGATTATGATGGCGTGAACGAAGGTAGTGTGCATGCAGGATCTGTACAATACTGTCTTACTAGTGCACATGTTAGTCGAGACTATATTCCTAACTTGCAGTTCTTAGCAGAATAAACTCGTATAGCGAACACGCAGTCAAGAGGCTGCAGGTATCAAGGGAGGACCATGATGTTTGGTCAACATATATATAGTAGCGCACCAGGCGCTTACAAATTCATTCGCACGGACAACAAACAAATTTAATTGCCGAGTAGTGATCAATACATTGCCACTACACTACCTGTCGACTCCATCTACAGTTTAGGTTAAGAAAGCGCACATACAGAAGTACTCAACAGATTGTTCAAACTACGAACAGACAATGGGGGTTTGAGCACATGGTTCATAAAGCAATTTGGAGAAGATCAAACAAGACTGATAGACTCTCTCAGATACATACATGTTGATGACATCGAAAGTATATGTATGCTTCAATACAAAATGGCCAGATTCTAGGATTTGCACACAATCGACCATCACAACCGGCCACACACATTTGTTGTGTGACTATGTCCGGTGTGATGAATGACCAAAACAACACCCTACTCGCAATACCAACAGCCTCATCGGATGCAAAGTATTACGTCAACATTGTGGAGCGAGGGTTGCGATAGTGTATAAAAATGGGCGGCAGTCCAATTCTGGTTAGAACAGATGCACATGCGACAAACCGGAGTACTTTTGCAAGATTGAGTGTTAAGTATAATTCTGATTTACAAATATCAGAACAAGATATGCATGCATGGTCTCAAAAGGCCTATGACGAGCGATTATCTAAAAATATACACATACCGAATAGCAAGGTCCGCACTCATTTGGCCTTCTGCTATGTTTACGAATACAAGAACTTCCGCAATTGTTGGCGACTGGCACATAGGAAGGAGGTCAAATACCCAGCACTTCTGGATACGGATGGGACTGTACTGATTCCTGCAGACACTACTCGATAGAAGGATATCGAAAACCTGTACACAGCCCAAGAAAAAGAGGGGGCATATACGAATTGCAGATTATCTAAAAAAAGCTGCATTTCCTTCTGAAGATTCGGTATATCAAGGCGATATTAACGCCTTAGAGTAATTAAACGCTTAGGTTAAGTCTAAGTATCGTGAAATTCGAAGTAAATAAACGAAATGAGTCTTTTGGTAAAGTTAGGTATGCCTCGTGAAAACAGCAATACTCTGAGGGATTGTGAGTCTGAGACATTGCCTATATATAATCCTCTCAGTACTGTTCTCGCCGAAGGCATTTTATTTAGTGTTTCGTTGTCGCTCTATTAGAAATTATGGTATGTTTCGTTGGGGTGAATCTGAGAGACTCATAAAATCCTATCTTTAGAAAATAAAAAATAAAAATAAAAATACTCTTGATGTCCTTAGCTATTGTCTTAACCAATAACTTGCCACTTATCAAGAATTACCGACTTAGCCTTCATCAGACTGGCACATCTGGTTGGCTGATCGGAGGATCAACTAGATAACGTTAATAGTCCCTAGAAACCTATATTCGGTTGAGCCATCTCGCTACCGAGGTATTCAGATATAAATAAAGTTGGAAAGTAAATATAGTTATATTACTAAAACTATTCCAAATCCTATCTTTGGCATTTTAATCGGGCCTTTTAATGGCCTTCATCCAAACATCTGATATGTAGAATGGAAAAGGTATTAATTAATAAATACATTAAAAACCATTTAGGAAATTTAAGTTCCTTGTTCTATTAAGAGTACTTTTTTAGTATACGTACTGCTTAAGAGTACGTTTATAACATAGAGTCTAATGTGGAGGCCCGGTTATTACAGACTAGCTTAAATTGTAACTTTTTAGCTCTACTATCAACTCTTCTCTACTCATAGAAAGCGCATCTCGCCACTGATCATGGACAACAGAGGGACCCCCAGTCACACATAATACTATAGACTACGAATTCGTACCTGAACTTTCTATTATAAATTCCGTAAAGATACACTGAAGCACCTTACAACTTTGATGTGTGAAGCACGAGTTTGGTGTCTCGTGTAGTTTCCCAGTACGCTTGTATCAATTTGATTAAATATTCTTGATATATGTATGAATATTTATACTTAATTCGTATACGAATTTTTATATAAGCTGTTTCTTATGGATACATTTGCAGCACGGCGCACGGTGACGTTGCGCGATTGTGACTGTTACCCTACTATGTCGTATTGACATATTCCAACTAATTTACTTTCCGATAGAATTTTCTCTCATTCTCTTGCTATTATGATTGTTTGTTCAATAACACTGAACGCTGAACGTGTCCACTTTTTCCTACTCCAGTCGCAATATATCTTTTCGTCTTTTCGGTCGATTTTTGATTTCTTCCTCGTCAATTTTCCTTTTTGGACTGCATTCGACATAAGATTGCTTTTATATGACGGTTGACGGACCGATATGATTCGGCCTATGTATTTTTTTTGAGACGGAACAGATGTTAAAAGATATATCTTGCCATCCAAGATAAACTATCCAATTTAAAAAACGGCATAACCCGATCCAGCTCGGGACTGCTGACTATGTATCCTTGACCTTCACGATTGACGCATACTATGGATTGTCTACATGCGCTCCAGGGGATGGAATTGAGATTCGAATATCCAAACCTAACCAAACCCAAACAAATCGAGGGCCAAAAGTTATTTTTCTTGTTCTCCAAAGTGTGTGTGGTGGAACGGCCCTAAATATGCAGAGGGCTCTAGGGTTTGGGAAATCTGACATAGTCGAAGTGATAGGATAGCTCAACGTCAACAAATGAGCCAGAGGTCTGAGATGTGATGTCGAATTCTTCACAGAGCGAGCGAAGAATAGTTTTTCCTGTCTCAGAGACTAGCCTAGGACTGCAGCGAGAGTTTCGTTCAAGGGTGGGGAGCTGCCTAGACTGAAGGGGAGATTGAGCTTGTAGTGGTAAAGATTTGGCCATTCAGAGGGCGCCTACAATATCGGTGACACTCATGAGAGTGTTAGGAGGGCGAGTGTTAATACCGTCCATAAAGAAGCAAAGGCTGGTGCGTGTGCTCAATGTTTTTGTATTCGATATATGCGTTTATGCCTAAATGTTCGCCTTAATACAGGACGTGAATGTGAAGGAATTTTATCTGCCGTCGGGACGTACTTTTGTAAGGCATTGAGGGGAGATATTGTGTCATATTGCAAGAAATCTAGTTGTGATTTGGTGAATGAACCAAAGAAGGGTCCAGCGGACGGATCCAATGTAAAACCGAGTTCAATATACCGGATGGGCGTGGACAAAGTGCTCTACGAGGATATATCCTAGGACCGGAAGTCATCTTTTTCACAAACCCGTCACTAGTAGATAAAATCTAGTCCTTTCCAGGAACGTGAGAAAGAAATAGAGTAGACACGCCGTCCAGTACAGCACTTCTGACCGAGTTCACTTATCAAGACTTCACACTCTTACTAAGAACTACTCAGGGTGGAATACATTGATAGCATGAGCCCCACACTTATATATATATATATATATATATATATATAACATATATATATATATATATATATATA